AGCAGCAGCAGCAGCAGCAGCGCCTGCTGTTTCCGTTGTCGTGGTAGTGGTGGCCGTATGGTTGTTCAGTGGTGCAAGGTGGTCGGAGTAGTAGCTGCAGGCTACGCGATTCGCAGGGCTGGACAACAATGTAACAGAGTTGATTCAGTCAGAATCCGCATATTCGTATAGTAATCTTATAGTCGCCTGCAATAGTAACAGCATCGCACCCATATAGAACTACTTGTAGGAAGTACAACCAACAAAGGCTCGGCGTTGCATTGCTCTACGTCGTCTTAGCCACCAGCTCTCCCAGAAGCACCCTTTTCACCGGTTATTTTGAGGCCTCCTTATTGAAATTGAAAGTCGGAAAAGCTGCTTGTTGTAAAGGGGTTACTGTGGAACCTAGGTCATGGACGCCGAGCAGGCGACACAGCCCGGGCACACTTTCGTGGGCGTTGTTGCTGCGAGTCAGCTCCTGACACTGGTTCAGCAACTTGTGGTCGTCCGAAACTTGGCGTTCTTCTGGTTGGCNNTATATGAACCATAATAAGGAGGCTAAAAGTTTAACTTTTAGGAGGGGTGTAGAAGTCAGCCAAGGAAAGCTGGGCATTGAGTGGCAGGAGCCTTTGAAGGAGTATCTGGAACTACTGGCAGTTTTCGGCGTGGACTTGGATATGCTGTCTCTTTCATGTATCGCCAGTGTGAGCCCTGTTTTGAAGTATGTCTTGACTGTGTCAGCCACGCCCATTCTCGCAGCGATCGCCCTGCTGCTGCATCTGTCCGCCCGTTTCTTCAAGAAGCTTAGTAGCTGAGTGGATACACTTTACACTGTTTGGGATAATATTACCCACTATAAAACTGAAAGTGTACACTTTTTGTGGCTTCTGAACTCAGCAACTAAGGAAGTATATCAAGCAGGGCCTCCGTGTGAGGCTGGACTTCAGCCAGCTCTTGCGGACGGTGGGATCCCTCATCTCGATCCTATTCATCAGCATCTTCACCTCTTTGGTGGCGCCGTTTCAGTGCAACTTGCACCCAAATGGCCGCAGGATCCTTGGGCTCCTTTGTTTAGGGTTTTGGGGGGTTTAGGGTTTAGGGTTTTTAGGGTTTCAGTGGTTCTATAAACAAGGTTCTTGAAGGGTTCTGGTTCTACAAGGGTTCTTCAAAGGGTTCTTTAAAGAAGGGCTTTAAAAGGGTTGTATAAGGGTTCGAAAGGGTTGCTAGGTCTAGGCGGTTAAGCTGTAGGGTCTAGGGGTTTGGGGTTTGCTATAGAAGCTTAGGGAATCACCAATTCTTCCTAAGGGTTTCTTCATAGAATATTCCTTAGGGCTCCTTATGAGAGTTGTGCTAGACAGGAAACAACCAAAACTTCACAACCGTGTTCTAATTATTAAAAGCTCCTATCTTGGGCTTTAAGGGTTCGTTCGTTTAACGGTCGTTTCAGGCCCTTAAACCCTAAACTGGGTCCTTGTTGGCTACAATAATACATTTTTGTGATAAAAACCCAACAAGGATTCAACATGGTCGTGTTTGATATAGCCCCAACAGGGAATCAGTAAACCCTAAACCCCAAACCCTAAACCCTAATAGAGGTTACCATAGTAGGGTTCTTGGTCTTCTAGGACCCCGGGGGCTCTTCTTTGCTTTTGTAAGGACTGGGAAAATCCAGGAAGAGCTGAGCAGATTTGGGTTCCTTTAAAGGCTCCCTTAACGCTTACAGGAACCTTTAAGGGTTCCTTTAAGGGTTCCTTTAAGGGTTCCTTTGAGGGTTCCTTTAAGGGTTCCTTTGAGGGTTCCTTTAAGGGTTCCTTTGAGGGTTCCTTTGAGGGTTCCTTTGAGGGTTCCTCTAAGGGTTCCTTTAAGGGTTCCTGTGGGATTTAGAATCGAGTGTAAGCTTCGAGGTGCATGGGTAGCTATCGGTGGGGTTATACGTCCCCTGATGTGGGTGACACTTCGTTCACCCCACTTACAACTACCCATGAAACCCTAAACCCTAAACCCTAAACCCTAAACCCTAAACCCATGAAGCCCTAAACCCCTAAACCCTGAGCCTCTCATGGAGCCCTTAAAAGAAGCGAGCTACCCATGAACCCTAAACCCTGACCCCTAACCCCCTAAACCCTAAACCCGAACCCCCTAAACCCTAAACCCTAAACCCTAAACCCTAAACCCTAAACCCTAAACCCTAAACCCTAAACTCTGAACCCTAAACCCTTAAACCCCAACCCATGAACCTCCAAGTAAGCCCTGAAGACCAAGTTCTATCAGCCCAAAGCCGTCGACCTGACTCCTGAACCCAAACTTGGCGTTCTTCTGGTTGGCTCTTTGGGTTTAGGGTTTAGGGTTTAGGGCTTAGGGTTTAGGGTTTAGGGTCTAGCGTTTAGGGTTTAAGGTTTAACTTCTTGGGTTTCTATATGAACTATGATAAGTAGGCTAAAAGTTTAACTTTTAGGGAGGGATTCAGAAGTCAGCCAAGCAAAGTCCTGAACACTATGTGGAGGTCCATGGGTAGTTATACGTGGGGTTATACGTAAGGAAACCATACTTATAACCCATGTTGGGGGAATTAGAACTCCGCGTTTTTCTACCCATGAACCTCCAAGTAAACCCTGAACCCTCAAGCCTAAACCCTTAACCTTAAACCCTAAACCTTAAGCCCTCAACCCTAAACCCTCAACCCTACCGGAGCCAAGGACCGTGCAAGAGTACGGCTCGGTGTTCTGCACCTTGCAAAACGAGCACTTGCAGATGAGCCTGAGCCTGGGCTCTTGGGGTTTAGGGTTTGGGGTTTGGGGTTTAGGGTTTAGGGTTTAGGGTTGAGGACCCAATGGGGGGAAGAATTTCACCGGGAAGGCCCCCACAAACCGAATTATACCTAACCCCGCCAGGGTTAGACCTAAACCAAATCATGCCAATTCTAAAGCGTTAATTTGTTTGCGACTTCGTCAAGACTTTCGAACCTTAATGGGTTGAGTTTCCTTTAGGTTTCTGGCTAGAGGGTCTAAACAGACAGGTTCTACGTGCCATGATGTGATTTCGGAAAATGTATGAAATAGATCAGGGAGATATATAAATCTGCTATGGGTTCCTTATCATGGCGGCCTAAACTGAACTCAGGATCGGTGCTGCAGCATGCTTGATGCCGCTTTGCTTCCTCAGCCTTTGCTTCTGGATCATCTTTCTAAAGCTCCCTCGCTGGTTGCGGCGTGCCGATGCTGTGTGCCTGGGGTCTTGTTGAGGCATTTACTTGAATTTAGCATGATAAGGAACCCAAATTATTTATCGTAGATGTTCAGATTGGGTAACTTGAAGTAAATTCCTTAACCCAAAAAACGGGAGAACCTGTAGAACCAAAACAGAAGCATTGTAGGAACCTTTACATAGAACCTGTATAGGAACCCTTGTAGAAACATTATAGGAAACTTCATTATTACCCTAAAGGTTGAACCCTACACCCTAAAACCCTAAACCCTACGCCCTAAACCCTGAACCCTAAACCCTAAACCCTAAACCCTAAACCCTTAACAAAAATCCTGAAACGAGCCCTTGTAGAAACCTAAACACTTAAACAACAAATCTGAACCCTAAATCCTTAAAACAAATCCTAAGCAGAGCCCTTCTAGAACCCAGGTACTTTCGAGCTTGCTCCTTCCTCTGGATGCGCTACCGACCTGGTGCGGAGCGCTTCTCCATTTTCTTTCTCTGCCGCCGCTTGGAGTTTGGAGTTTTGGAGTTTGGGGTTTCGCGTAGGTTTTCGGGTTTAGGGTGTAGGGTTTAAGTTTTTTTAGGGGTTTAGGGTTTCGGGCTTAGGGTTTAGGCTTTCGGGCTTAGGGCTGAGATTTTAGGGCAAATTCGCTACACTCTTCGCCCTCCAACCCGAAGTTCCAAAGCCTCAAAGCACCCAGAAGCTTAAGCCCTAAACCCTAAACCCTAAACAACCCTGAGGCCCCCAAGCCCTAAACCCTAAAACCAAAGGCCCTCAACCCTAAACCCCCCCAACACCCTAAACCCCAAACCCCAACACCCTAAACCCTAAACCCTAGAGGGGGTCCCTTCTAAAAGGGGACGCCGGACGCCCAGGTTGGCTCTGCCTGGGCCAAAGAAGCCCCGGCTTGGGCCTTGCCGTGGCCGAGGCAGGGCTTTCAGAGTTCGAAGGGTTTAGGGTTTAGGGTTCCCTTGAAAGGGAACCTTAGGGTTTAGGGTTCCCTTAAAAGGGAACCTTGGGGTTTGGGGTTTAGGGTTTAGGGTTAGGGTTTTGGATTAAGGGTTTAGGGTTTTAGGGTTTTGAGGTTTTAGGGTTTAGGGTCCCCGGGTTTAGGGCTTTCAGAATTCCAGGGGTTTAGGGTTTTAGGGTTTAGGGTCTTAGGGGAAGGGTTTAGGGTTCCGTTTAACAGGGAACCTCAGAGTTTGGGTTTTGGGGTTTAGGGTTTTAGGGCTTTAGGGGTTTTGGGCTTTAGGGTTTAGGGTTTTAGAGTTTTAGGGTTCAGGGATTGCGCTTTGGGGGTTTTAGGGTTTAGGGTTTCGGGATTGGGGTTAAGGGGTTTAGGGTTTAGGGCTTGCCAAACTCCAGAGGCCTCAAAGATATAGGGTGCTTCGTGCTTTAGACTTGAGGGCTCGTGGTCTTAGGGGCAAGAGGTTTAGGCATTGGCGAGGACATGTCAGGGTTTAGAGTTTAGGGTTCAGGTTTTGGGGTTTAGGTTTCCGGCTTCCGGATTTTGCGGCACCGGGTGCTAGGAAAGGCGGCATGTGTGGGGGCCTTGCGGCTTTTACTGTTACACGGGGGTTTTCAGAGCTTATATACTTGGGTAGGTACAGGATCATTGATTCTAGCCCGAGAACCTAAACCTAAAAAAAGACCCTGTAATATTCGTAGCTAACCTTAAACCCTAAAACCTAAACCCTAGCCCTAAAACCCTAAACCCTCAAACCCTAAACCCTAAACGCTGCCCTAAACCTCTCTATCATATGTTAGCCTAAACCTTAATGACCTTCGTGGCTCAAGGCAAAACCTTCGTGGCTCAAGGCAAAAACTTCGTGGCCAGACAAAGTTTCCTTGAGCCACGAAGTTTTTGCCTTGAGCCACGGTCATTAAGGTTTAGACTAACATATGATTGATGGCAGGGTTTAGGGTTTAGGGTTTGAAGGTTTAGGGCTGACACTGCTGACACTGGCACGCCGACGCTCTGGTGGGCAACGTGACCGAGAGAATCTCCATTTCACGTGGGAAGACTATTTGTGGACACTCGACCACATGGGTTTCCGCACGAAGGAAGGGTCAGACAAGCTCCACTCGACCTTCAAGACAGTGGTGTTCAACAACTTCCGCGTCACAAGGTGGGAGGAGCTGGACAACGCTGTCGGCACACTTTTGAACCCCCGATCAGACAGATCCGAACAAGCGCCACAAGCGCCACGAGCTCTTCGGTGGCTACTTCCTCTCGTACATTCCGGAGAGGCTGGCACCCTAAACCCTAAAACTTAATAAATCCTAAACCCTAAAACCCTAAAACCCTAAACCCTAAACCCTAAAGCCCTAAACCCTAGAACCCTAAAGCCCTAAACCCCTAAACCCTAACTTAGGCCATAAACCCCTAAGCCCGGTAGAACTCCCAACGTTCCCTTTAAAAAAAAGGGTTTAGGGTTTAGGGTTTAGGGTTTAGGGTTTAGGGTTTAGGGTTTAGGGTTTAGGGTTTAGGGCCCCTTGTAGTTCCCTCTCAAGGGAAACCCCAAGAGCCCTAATCGGGCGTCCTGAATAGGGTTTAGGGTTTAGGGTTTAGGGTTTAGGAGGCTCCATGAGGGTTTAGGGCTTAGGGCTTAAAGGGTTTAGGGTTTAGGGTGTAGGGGTTGAGGGTTGAGGGCTTAAAGGGTTTAGGGTTTAGGGTGTAGGGGTTGAGGGTTGAGGGTTGAGGGTTTAGGGTTTAAAGTTGCCAAGACTATTCTCTTGTTCCGACTTGGGGTTCCTGAATGGAAGTGCACTATCATAAATGACTCAGACATTAGGGTTTAGGGTTTAGGGGTTGAGGGTGTAGGGGTTTAGGGGTTGAGGGATTAAGGTGTATGGTTTAGGGTTTAGGCTTCAGGGTCATAAATCTACCCCCTCAGAACCGTATTCAAGTTATTAAGGGCCCTGTAGAGGTCATCTGCCGTCAACTTGGCCTTCGCCGAGGCTCGGCGGGGAGGCGTTTCCCAGAGAGGCTGCAAAGCGGGGTCGCCCTTAGCTTTAAAGCTAAGTGTAATATAGGGTTAAGGGTTTAGGGTTTAGGGTTTCGCCCTAGCTTTAAAGCTAAGTGTAGATATGGGTGTCGGAACTCGCCTCGAAGATCTTAAGCCCTAAAGCTCCGAAATTCTAAACCCCTAAACTTTAAACCCTAAACCCCGAAACCCCTAAACCCCGAAACCTTAAACCCTAAACCCCTAAACCCCGAAGCCTTTAAACCCTAAGCCCCTAAACCCTAAACCCCTAAACCCTTGAATCCCAGAGCCCAAGAAGGCCTCAGCACTTTCCGGATGGCTAATGGGCCGCCTGGCGATGCCGCGACGCTGCGAGAGGCTGCCTGCAGAGGCCATTTTAAAGGTTCCCTTGACAGGGCTTCTTTTAAATAGGCTCAGGGTTTAAAGGGTTTGCTTTTAAAGGGCTTCGGGTCCAAGGGTCTAGAGGGCTTCTTTTAAAAGGCTTAGGGTTTAAAGGGTTTGCTTTTAAAGGGCTTCGGGTCCAAGGGTTTAGAGGGCTTCTTTTAAAGGGCTTAGGGTTTAAAGGGTTTGCTTTAAAGGGCTTCGGGTCCAAGGGTTTAGAGGGCTTCTTTTAACGGGCTTAGGGTTTAAAGGGTTTGCTTTTAAAGGGCTTCGGGTCTAAGGGTTTAGAGGCTTGGGGTTTAGGGCTAGTTTATTCGGGTTTCTGGCCTTCAACAGGACTCCTTTATAGCAGATCGGGATCCGGGTCGATTCACCCTAAACCCTAAACCCTAAGCCCCCTAAACCCTAAACCCCCTAAGCCCTAAAGGTTCAGGGATCTATGGGGGTTCTACCAAGGACCCACAGGAGGGCTCCAGAAAGGATATTCCTCATCTATAGGAAAGAGTGGCATGGTATGTATGGGTACATCAAGGGTTTACGGCTTAGGATTTAGATTGAGGGTTTGTTCAGGATTTGGGGTTTAGGGTGTCGGATATATATCCCATACTAGGGGTTTCAGGGTCTTGAAAGTAGACAGACCCCAACTCCGCAAACCCCTTATCTTCAGCGCTTGAACTCCCTATAAGATCCAGAACCCCAAACCCAAAACATCATCGTAACCCTAAGCCCTAAACCGCTATGTAGGCCGTAAGCCCTAAGCCCCACGAGCCCTAGAGCCTCATCTGAAGCTTGGTGTAGTTTTTTCGGACTTCGGATCCTTTCCATGGACCCAAATAATAGCATCTACTTTGGCCCAAAGTACCTATAGAGGGACTCAAATTAGACCCTAACCACCCTTACAGACCCCCTTTATCGTGACCCTTCAACCCTCAACCCTAAACCCCAAAGCCTTAAAGGAACCTTATTTTGGGCCCCTAAACCCTAAACCCTCAACCCTAAACCAAAGCCTTAAAGGAAGCTTACTTTGGGCACATGGGCCCTTAAGGTTTCTGTAACCCACTGCAGGCAGCGAGGCCTCGGTTCTCGACTGCGATCTTCAAGTGGAGGTGCAGCGAGCGGTTTTCGGTTTTAGGGTTTAGGGTTTAAGGTTGAAGGGTTTTTCAGGTTAAGGTTTTTTTTGTTTTTTTTTTTTGTTGGGGGAGGGGGGGCTTTAGGGCTATCGGGTTTATGAGGTTTAGGGTTTAGGTT